ACACTAGGTGCAAAACAAAAATCTGCATTCCTTTCCGCAGGCTAAGTCCCAGTTATGGCTCTAATCCTCTACAATAATCTCCCCGACAGAATCAAGCAGCTTGAGGGTAACAAGTTTGCCTCAAATCTTAAGAGCCTCATGAGAGTACAGCCCTTCTATAGTTTGAAAGAGTTTTTCAAGGTAAACTTCGATAGCACTAGACCATTGTCCACGCCATCGGTGGAACACGTGTAACTCCATCTTGGAAGTTTTGTAAATAGCCTAGACAACTGTAGAATTCATTGTGTTAAACTACAATTTATTTTGGTTTGTATGTAAATAATATAGCCTAATATCTAAGCCTAAAGTTTCTAGGCATTAAGCACTAAACGAGATCAAACAAAATAATTATATGATTAGAAACATTACAGTTATACTTTTATGTTTATGAAACTGTAAATCAAATAGGTTCAGATAAGATAAATTCTGTCCTAAAGACGATTTTATATTAGATTCATCCACAGTAAACACCACTTTCAAAGATGTGTCATTGAGCGTTGTGGTGATGTGAACATTATCACCTGATAATATTTATTATTTGATTTGTTTGTAAATATTGTATTTGTTCTTAACTAAAACATGGTTGTAATTTTGAATGAATAAAAGCCATACTTTTGGTTTACTAAGTCTTTCTTACAACAATTTTATTCATTCATTGATAAACGCAGTTAGTGCTACATTACAATGGAGAAATTCCTTAGACCAGACAAATTGCAAATTGACCCGGAATCTCCAACTGCATCAGAGGAATGGACGCACTGGTTACAAACATTCGAAGACTTTCTAACCATGACAGAATTCGTTGAAGACAAGGACAAACTGAAACTACTAACTAATCGATTATCTTTTACTACTTATAGATTTATCAAGGAATCTGAAACTTACCAAGACGCTTTGAGAGTTCTTAACTCAATTTACATCAAACAAAAGAATGAAATATTCTCAAGATATTTAATAATGACTAGAAAACAGCAACAAGGTGAGACTATTGACAAATATGTGTCGGAACTGAAACTTTTGAGCCAAGATTGCGTTTTTGAAGCTGTTAATGCGATTCAATACAGGGATCACTACATTCGTGATGCTTTTATCAATGGCTTAGCCTCGTCATACATACGACAGAGACTATTTGAAAATAAAACTTTAGACCTAGCTGAAGCAGTGGAACAGTCTAGAGCTCTTGAAATGGCTCAAGCTCAAGTCGAGAGCTATCCAAAATCTATGTACGGAATGCAAACTTGTGCAACGAATGAATTGGCAAAGCAAGCTTGTCAGTACGAATTCCCACTACAACAAAAGGAAGGAGCGACTGTTTCCGCTATTAAAAATGTTGATGGCAAGTGTTATTTTTGTGGGCATGACAGACACTCTAGAGATCGCTGTCCAGCCAGAGAAGCAACTTGTGGGAAATGTAACAAGACAGGGCATTATGCGAGAGTCTGTAAAAGTAATCCAACTCAACATTTTAAAGTAAAACAGAAGACGTCTAGTACATCAGCTGCACTAATAGCAACAACACATAATACATCTGTATTGAAGGACTCTACAGTTGAAGCTAAAGTGAATGGCCTGAAAGCAAACTGCTTAATAGACACCGGGAGTACATCAAGCTTTGTAAACTTGAAGTTTGTTCAGTTAAACAAAATTAAAATGTATAATGAAAGTGGACAAGTATCACTAGCTGCTTCTAATATGAAATCAAACGTCCACGGGTTTGTTAAAATCAACCTAAATCTGTTGAATCACAATTACAACAATTTTAAGTTGACTGTTCTTGAAGATCTTTGTACTGACGTGCTTATCGGACATGATATCATGAAACTCCACTCAAATATACAGGTTTGGTTTGGAGGTAAGAAACCTCCTCTGTTGGTGTGCTCCTGTGCCAAAGTTGAACCACCCAAACTATTCTGCAATTTAACTCCAGATTGTAAGCCAATAGCCACAAAATCACGACGTTACTCAGATGAAGATATGCAATTTATAAAACAAGAAATGGAAAGACTACAGACTGAGGAGATCATTGAACCTAGTTCGTCACCTTGGCGTGCACAAGTGTTGGTTGTTACAAACGACAAAGGGAAGAAGCGACTGTGTGTGGACTATTCGCAAACGATAAACAAATTTACTCTGTTAGACGCCTATCCCTTACCAAACATAAATGATCTAGTATCCACTGTAGCGACGAACAAGGTTTTTAGTGCCATTGATCTAAAGCAAGCATATTATCAAATACCAATTTCTGATGAAGAGAAGAAGTACACTGCTTTTGAGGCTGCTGGTCGTCTTTTTCAATTCAGAAGAATCCCATTTGGCGTAACCAACGGGGTGGCATGTTTTCAAAAGACCATGGATCAAATCATTAGAAAAGAAAAACTGAATGGAGTGTATGCCTATCTGGATGATTTGACCGTATGTGGAAAGGATCAAAAGGATCATGATGAGAATCTAAGAACATTTTTAGATGCTGTAACTAAGTATGGACTTGTAATCAACAACGAAAAGAGCAAGTTCAACCAGTCTTCAATAACCTTGTTGGGACATTTAGTTTCTCATAACTCTATTCGACCTGATCCAGATCGGCTAGAATCTCTACTGTCACTTCCTGTGCCCAAAGACCAAGTTTCACTAAAACGAGTCCTAGGATTTTTCGCTCACTATTCAAAATGGATACATCGGTTTTCTGATAAAATAAGAAACCTGACACAAGTCAATTCTTTTCCTTTGTCACAGGAAGCGGTTGCAGATTTTGAAGCCCTCAAACTTGACATTGCAAACTCAGTAATTACTCCTAGGAATGGGCAAGAGCCACTGGTAGTGGAGACTGACGCATCCGACATAGCCGTGGCAGCAACTTTGAGTCAAGATAATCGGCCAATTGCTTTTTTCTCACGGACTCTAAACAAATCTGAGAAGCTGTATTCAGCTGTTGAAAAAGAAGCCGTTGCCATAGTCGAAGCCCTTAGAAAATGGAAATCATTTCTTATCGGAAGAGATTTCAGATTATACACGGATCAGCAAGCTTTATCATTTATCTTTGACAAGAGGCATACAAGCAAAATCAAGAACGATAAAGTTATGAGATGGCGACTAGAGCTAACACCTTATCAATATGAAATAGTGTACCGACCTGGTAGGGAGAATGTAAAAGCAGATACGCTCTCTCGGGCATGTGCGGTTCGCTGGGATAATGCCAAGTTGTTCGAATTACACAAATCTCTCTGCCATCCGGGAGTCACTCGAATGTTTCATTGGATTAGAACTAAAAATCTAAACTACACTCTGGATGATGTAAAAAGGATGACGTCAGCTTGTCAAACATGTGCAGAAGTGAAGCCAAGATTTCACCAATTCCAAGGCAAATTGATAAAGGCAACCACTCCCTTCGAACGTCTAAATATTGACTTTAAGGGCCCTCTTCCATCAACAACCAGAAACCGTTACCTTTTAACCATGGTGGATGAGTATTCTCGTTTTGTATTTGCTTACCCCTGTAAGGACATTAGTTCAGCAACAGTTATCAGATGTTTTTCAGATCTATTTTTTATGTTTGGAGCCCCATCCTTTGTACATTCAGATAGAGGTTCATCTTTCATGTCGCGAGAGCTGACGGACTTTCTTCACAAGTACGGAGTAGCTACAAGTCATACGACACCTTATAACCCTAGAGGGAACTCTCAGATTGAACGCTTCAATGGAACAATATGGCGAACCATCCTACTAGCTTTGAAAAACCACAACCTGCCAGTTGCTGCATGGGAAGAAGTATTACAGGAGGCACTTCACTCAGTCAGATCTCTTTTATGCACTGCGACAAACTGCACACCGCACGAAAGATTCTTTATACATAGCAGAAGATCCACCAATGGAGACTCCTTACCATCTTGGCTATCTGCTCCTGGTCCTGTCCTGCTTAGAAAGTTTGTAAGATCTAATAAATATGATGACCTTGTGGAGCCAGTTCAACTTTTTTGAATCAAATCCACAGTACGCTCTCGTCAGAAGAAGAGATGGGTCAGAATCACAAGTATCCCTGAGACATCTTGCACCCGCTGGCCTACCTCCTGGTGATCTACCTCATGAAGACAACACTACTGAGAGAGAGATTGTTGAAAATATAAATTCAGACATTGACCACAATGAAGTTCAAAATGAAACTCAACAAACGGTATCTCAGACTCCAACTTCAGAGACGGCTGTGGGGGAACTACGTCCAAAGAGGAATGTCAAGCCACCGTCATATCTAAAGGATTACATATGCTATACCTACCTTGAAAAATAGTGGGGGAGAATGTGGTGATGTGAACATTATCACCTGATAATATTTATTATTTGATTTGTTTGTAAATATTGTATTTGTTCTTAACTAAAACATGGTTGTAATTTTGAATGAATAAAAGCCATACTTTTGGTTTACTAAGTCTTTCTTACAACAAGCGTACCGCGGAAGCTACCTCCGGGCCCTCCTAACAAAACTCAACATAGTCCATTCCAATAACCTAAAGCGCCAAACATTGAATGCATGTTTTTTCAAAACTAAAATCAGGTTGGATAAGGTGCCAATTTTTTATCCAATCCATTAAAATGAATGAATGAAAATTATTACGGAAATTTTCAATCAAGATTCGAACTACTGTTGTAAAACGTTTTCACATAATTTCCGATGTTTCTGGATCCCGTCGCCACTACTTGTGCCTGAACTCACCATCTTGTGCAGACGTGTTCATTTTGTTCTCTAATCTCTTTTGTTACTTCTTTACTACATTAACATTTAAGAACTATTGTGATTTGTGTTTCAATATTCTGGTTTATTTGTAATTTTCCAACTTAGGCTGGGTTTGTAGGACTAACCTTATAATGTTGAAAGTACTTTCTTACTTGAGGACAAGATTAAATTCCAGATCCTGAATAGTTGTGAAAACTTTGTTTTTTCACTAATTGTGATGGAAAATTGCCGCAATAATTGTACATTTGCAAAAATAAACAAATTTTAGGCCTACTTGTAGTTACACCCAGACAGACTACATCGTCTAATCCACATTGTTTAAATGTTCCAGTGCGTGATAGCAGCACTGCTGCATGATGGAGAATACGTTAGTGGCCAAGGGCCAAGAGACACCTACCACTACCAATACAGACCCTGACTTTATCGTCTATCTATTCGATCCAAAAGAAGAATACAACTGTTACTTTATCGTCGGGAACCCTGACTTGGACAGAGTAGTAAGTTATTGTTTGTAGTTTTATTATAGCTTTGCCTCAATTATTCTCCTCCCAATATTCTCCTCACCGACTATTTTGTTTTAATTTTATGCAGTGCTTGATTTACGGGATGAACGCTGCGGAACAGAGTTCCGCTACCTCTTTCGGGAAGAAAAAAAATATTGGCATAAATAGTTCCGGCACCTCATTTTTTACAAATTGAACACTAATTTTATGTTGTGTGTATTGACGTAATTGGAATTTTTTAACAGTCAAAACCCTGGTCTTGTTACTATCTAACGTCAACCTTATGTTACATAGCAAACTAATTGATAGAAAAATGGTATCATGGTCCGGAATCATTAACCCTCCAAGTGTCTCTAGTTTTGGTCTTAATGTTCGCCCATTTATTGTGCAATCGCAGGGTTTTATTAAAATGTATCTTAGAAACTTAAAAACAATGTAAAGTATACTGTTTTATATATCATTTTGTTTGGAAAATTATGGGCTTCAATGTAACATATAAAACATTACAAAAAAAATGTTCAACAATTTTTGTGGGGTTAACATTTCTCAAAAATTATAAAATAAATGAAAAAAAAAAATTATGTTTGCGCTCAATAAATTGTTATAATTTAAAGGTCTACAAATATTTTAAAATAGCCACTTCAGAATTTTATGAGGATTCCAAAAATATAATAATATAAGGAAGTAGATTTGCAAATAAATAAGTTATGGGCAAAAAAACAGATTTCGGTACATAGCGTTTGGCTAAGAATGCATAGCCTAACCATAGCTAGGAATCTGGCTGATAATTTACATCAATATCACTACCTACTTCTTCAGGATCATCAACCAGCCCTTCAAAATCACTTAAATCTTCTTATAATGCACCACGTACCTATATCACTACTTTTGATTTTTAACACTAAAACAATGATAAACGTAATAAAACACATCAGTCATCGGTGCGAGGTTAACCAAGCTGTTTACAAATACGCACGCAGCTGTCTGCTACAATTATGATCGGCTCGAGAAAAAAAAGCGCTTAGAGACAGACCTCGGGAGAAAGCTTAGAATCTGCAAAAAAAAAAAAAACAATACCTAACTCAATCCAGTTCAATCCGATTTAGTCAGTCATAGAGCCTTCGCCGTAAACAGTGTTTGTGAGTCGCAAAAGCGACACAAAACACTACACAAAGTGTGTTATGAGTCGCTTTTACGACACATAACACTCGGAGGGTTAAACTCTGCCCTTGATTGACCCAACAACCTACTTTTCAATTTTTAAAACTTTAACTTACTGTAAAGTGGTTTACAATACCTACCTTAATACAGTTATATTTGCTTGCTTTTGCTATGGCGGCAACTATACTCTGTTTACAAAATTTAGGTGGTTACAGGGGAAGTAATGTATCCCCTTCTGTTGAAATGAAAATTCTTTACTTATACAGGCAAAGTTAGGGTCACATGGCACTCTCTTACACTTATCCTGTGGATAAAAATTTAAATATATACTGTACCATCTATTTACAATATTTAATGTATAGAAAGAAAAAAAAACAATATATTGGACCCTATTATAAAAAAATATCTCAAAAGCTGATATAAAAACAAACATTTCAACCTGTCAAATCAATTGAATAAGATTTTTTGCTTAATTTTTCCCATTAAGCCAAAAAAGTGCTGGGGAAACTTCTAGTATAGTTTTCAGTTTTAAATCCTTCAGTTTTAAATCAGGAATTAATTGTAAACCATGTTAAGTACCGGGTGATTCAAAATGAATAGCCTGGTTTTAACGCTTTATAACTTTTATATTAGGCCTAAACTTACCGCTATAAAACACACATCAAATGAAAAAAGCATCTCAAAGAGTTTTATGTCTTCCAAAGACACATTATTTAACAAAATCGATCCAGTAGAACTGTAGATTTAATTGTTCAAAGTTAAAAAGTAATCTCCAACTTTTTTCACCACTAAAAATTTGAGGTTGCTTGACGTTTTTGGAAATAACTTTTAAATGGTGAGAAAATCAACCAAACAGGAAGGAAATATTCCGAAAGAGAATAAAATTTCCTACTAGTTACAAGTATACATTTCTTGAAAATACTCATTAAGGACAGCAAAAAATTGTCTCAAAATAAAAATATGTGAAAATTTACATTTTCAATGTTGAAAATAGACACAAAAAACGGGGATTTTAAATTTTTGTTTCATTCTGGCAATTTTTGGCTGCCTTTACTGAGTATTTTCAAGAAATGCATAATAGTAAATTGTAGGAAATTTTATTCTCTTTTAGAACATTTCCTTCCACTTTGGTTGATTACCTCACCATTTAAAAGTTATTTCCAAAAAAAAAAAAACTTCAAGCAACCTCTAATTTTTAATGGTGAAAAAATATGGAGATAACTTTTTAACTTTGCACAATTAAATCTACAGTTCTACTGGATCGATTTTGTTAAATAATGTGTCTTTGGAAGACATAAACTCTTTGAGTTGCTTTTTAATTTGATGTGTATTTTATAGCGGTAAGTTTAGTATAAAAGTTATAAAGCGTTAAAACCAGGCTATTCATTTTGAATCACCCGGTATAATCAATATTCCCGAAGGCTGAACTACTCTTTTACAAACTGTCCTATAATCTTTGTTAACTCACGTTTAGTCATATTCAACACGTAATATTTTTTTACAGAAATCTGTTATGCTGATTGATTTAATTAAGTATTAAATTTGGATGGTTTGAAACTGAACTCGATCCTGAATATTAGGAGTTTTATAGATTACTAGTATAGATTATTCTGGTTAAAGAAATCAGCTGGTGTTAAGTCAGTATAAGCAATGCTTATTTACTTCATTAGGCAGATATATGGGACAGTATATAAACAAAAGAATGTTCTGTAGTTAACTAATGTTATATCACAGGAGAGAATAGGCGTAGTCAAGAAAATGCTACTTGCCCATAGTGTGGTCCTTAGAGCACAACTGAAGGACTCCAAGCTTGCTGAAAAAGATGATGTCAAAGTCAAAGATATTTTCCCACAAACCTTCAAGAACTTACTCAGGTATGCTGTTAGTTTAATTTTTAATGTTTGCTGTTTTGTTGCATTATAGAGACATGTCTAGGAGCAAACTGGTCTCGTGGTAGAGCATCAGACTTCGGCGCTGATTTCCTGGGTTCAAATCCTGCCAACGACTAATGGGTTTTACTAGTGATAATTAGAGGTGTGCAAGCGGCTCAATTTTCGAGCGTGGCACAAAAGATCGAACACCAGGCCTGAAAATTGAGCTTGAGCCGAGCTTTTACTATTGCGATCATAAAACGTGTCATGATCGTAAAACGAGTGTGCTGAGTTTGATTTGAGCCATCTCCCTTCTATTACTTATCATACACGTAACAGATCCTATATATTAATAGGCAAGCATGTTTCTTAAAAACCTTTTTTTGTAGATATGCAGAGTTCCTTTATAAATTAAAATAGGTTAAAAAATAAACACAAAAAGTTTATAAAAAAATTTAAAAAAAAATTAGCATGGGCCTTATGGGTTGCCATGCTGGTGACAAAATAACAACGAAATATAAACAGCAGATCAAAACAAATGGAAGAAATTCAAAATACATGTTTTAACTTATTTACAGCGGGGGTACAAATAGAGAAGTCTGTACATTATATATTGTTTATTTGCCTTTTCGACAAATGGATGACCTCTACTTTACATCAAAATACACACATTTACAAATTGCACAGTAAAATAATTGGTTTCAACATTCCAAGATATAAAAAAAAATCTCAACTATAGGTAACGCTATCCCTGGTTTTATAAGTGTACAGTAATCCAAATGTTAATAATTAAAAATAGGTATTTACCTTTCTCTACAGCTCAAACTTTTGTAACTTGAATTGCAGCCGTTTCGGCATTAGACGTGGAACATCCAGCTGAAGTAGCGTTGTTATAGTCGAAACACAACACGAACAACATTTTAAATTTATTAACGAAAATGCAACAAATAACAGGCCTATCGCACACACGATACCGGTTGACATTGCCGCGATCTGAACTGGATGTCGACTAGAGGTTAATCCTGCATCGTTATTTGCGTAGTGGCGTTATCAGCTGACCCTTGTACTCCTGCCTTTTGTCTCTTGTCCTGATCTAAAATACAGTACTATACCTCTAGAAAAATATTTATACTGAGAGTTTGAACTGTAGGTATAACATTTTTATCATTTTACATCTATTTCAGATATGTTTACGGGTATGACACCACCGCAACATTAACCTTTGATGAGGCAGATGACTTGTTATATGCAGCAGAAAAATGGCAGATGCTCAAACTTAAAAATAAGCTTTCACTTCGTTTGATGTCCATGCTAAATGTTAGCAACATTTGCAGTCTGATGAACAACCCTGCGTGCTTCACTGTCTTGGAGCTGAACTCAGCTATCAACGAGGTTAGTTTAGTAACAAAGTTAATGTAATATTATAAAATTCAATTGCATTGTTCAGCAACGTACGAAGGCCTGTATTTCAACCTACCTTCAAGAAGATTTTCTTTTATCGCTTTAAAGAAGTCTTATATTCAGACGGAATATTGGTTTTTCCGTCCAAACCAATGTAATTTTATGACCACAATCAATAATTTTAGTGTATTTGGCGAAAGATTGTATAATGTCTGCTCACATATATGTATTGAAATAAAAAATTTAAAGATTTTGTGTGATTTATGTGTGTATAAGGTCAAAGAATTTGTAGAACATATCAAGTAGGTTAATTAAAATATTGTGATGAAAACTGTATGACGGTGCTATACATGTATTTAATGTTGATGGCAATAAATGGATTTGATTTGAATATTAATATTAGTGTTAAGTGCTTTAAATTCAATATTGTTTTTTAGTGATATTTGATTTTGGAAAAGTTATATAGCCCCCTTTTAGTAATTTGTAAAAATTAAAAAAAAACAATATTTTTTCACAATATGAACTTAAATCTTTCATAAAAGTATTACTTTGAGGCTTTGAGCTTTCAAATATTTCTTTAAAAATTACAAAATGGCTGATTAAGACTAAACTGAACCCAAATCAGAAAAGTCTTACTGGACATTTTCGACTTAAATTGCTATGTAGCCTAATGTAAAATATGGTTCTGGGTTGCATCCTACACATTGGTGATGCTCTGTATTTTAGCTATTGATTCTCGATGTATTGACAAATTGTTATTATTAGGCCTTTTTGTAAAAGTCAATTTAATCTGTTGTCATAGTAATCATAGTAATCTGTTGTTATAGTGATCACAATGACAAGAAAGATACTCATCCTGAATCAATCCCAAAATTTTGTAATTCGCATAGGTATAAAATAAATATGACTATTTTCCAAACATTTATGAAATGTTCAAAACCTAAATAACTTTATTCAGATTCCATTATTTTTTTTGCTTAGTGCTTTGCACAAATACATTTCTTGTGGCACCCCAGGAAACAGCTATTGAGCCATTATTAATCAGCAAGTTTTCTACCTTCTCTAAGCATTTCAAAGTTATTTTGTAATTGCTTTACTTGCGTACTGCTCTGTTATGATTGGGTCCATGGCATTGGTTGGCTAAATCTGGAACTTGCTGACCCCCTCCTAACTTAAATGCCCTATCTTCAAATTTAGTCGATTAGTGGAACTCGCTAACTTGTTCGGTTTCTGAATTGGCTAACTCCGGAACCCACTAACCCGCGCTAGAGCCGGGTTAGCTAGGTCCTCGGCGTAACTCGCTAACTTCAAATCAGAAACCTCGCACTCTGTCCAATGGGAACCAATCACCAAGATTATTGACCAGTGTTGTCGAAATTGTAGTACCTTTGATCGTATCGGTACCATAATGTCGTATCCTATGAATAATTAGGAGTAAGAGCAATGTAGTCGAAGTAAAATAAATGTATAGGCCTATTCAGAATAATGTTTCAGACTACAGTAGACTCCTTCTTATCCGGACTCCACGGGACCGAGGCCAGTCCGGAAAACGGGTTTTCCGGTTAAACCGACGTCCCCAAAAACTTGTTAAAACGGACCGTTTAAATGAGAATAATAATAAGAATAAGAATCTTTATTACCCTTTAAACATTTTACAGTGCAATAGGGTTCGTCATTTGCTACATAATATTAAAATGTAATTAAATATTTCACATGAAATAGTAACAAAAATAATTTTATCAAATAAGTTAAGACAAGCTGGCCTGGTTACAATCTAAAATCTAGTCTAATGGCAGGAAGATGGTGAAACATAGGGCAAAAAATATGAGCAAAATACAAGTCAAAATAGAACGAGTACATAGTAACAATACTAACATGGCTAGATGATAAAAATAGATTTTGAAACAAATTAACAAAGGTAAATAAAAATATGACTATATCAAAATGGTTAACATCAGAAACAAGTTACTTAAATAATGTGACTAGAATGGCACAAAGAATTAAACAAGTTAGGGACATTGCGGTTGCTTTACAAACATCAATTTTGAAATATCGCTTTTAAAAAACTCATCTAGTTTGTAAAAAGGGTGGCAAGTTAACCATCTGTACAAAGTACTCTTAAACACATTATAACTAACATGGTGAGAGGTGTAATTAAGTTTGTTGAAAAGTGTTATACCTATGATTTCAAAAGAATTTTTTACCTTACTTAGTCTAGCAAAAGGAACATGAATCAAACACAATCGTTGTAGCCTCTAGTGTTATATGAGTGAACATTTTCATTTAAAACTAAACTACTGAATTTCCTTTTAACATGCAACAAACATAGTAAGATGTACATATTTAAAACAGTCATTATTTTACTATAAACAAAAAGAGGCCTACAGTGAGCTTGATAGGGTGCATTATTGACAATTCTAACAGCTCTCTTTTGCAAAATCAAAACATCATAGACATTACTGCCATTACCCCAGATAAGAAGGCCATAGGTCATGACACTCTGGAATAGAGCGAAGTATACCATTTTAAGGTAACTAATTTCAACACAATCTTTTAATTTCCTCAAGAGGCAGATGACCCTACTGAGTTTTTTGCAGACATTACTGATTTGGTGGTTCCAAGACAGTCTAGAATCAAGAGTGATACCTAGAAGGTTAACAACCTTATCCTAATTGTTCTCAGAGCTCTTTAAAGAAAATAAATTTTTTTGTGTTTTATCTAAATTTAGTAACAATATATTTGATTTGTACCATTCATTAGCTTCATCAATCATGTGACTTAATTTAAAATCAGTTTCACTAGCATTTGAACTTGGACCAAAAAAAGTTACATCGTCTGCAAACATTACAGAACTATAGCTAACATTGTATTCCAGATCATTGATCATAATTAAAAACAAGAGAGGCCCAAGAACCGACCCCTGTGGTACACCGAAGTTAACCTCAGATAATTGAGAAAATTTACCATTTGCAAAAACTTTTTGTTGCCACGATTGAAGGCCTTGGACAGATCACACAGAACTGCGCAAGTGTCTGTGCCAGAATCAAAACCAGCTAGGACACCTGAAACCAAGCCCCCGACCGCATCAGCCGTAGACATTCCCTTTCTAAAACCAAACTGACTACTAGAAAATAACTTGTTTGTTTCAAAGTAAGAATTTACCTGATCTTTAATAGCGGCTTCAAAGACTTTAGAAAAAACAGGTACCAGAGAGATAGGTCTGAATGATTTAACATCACCTTGATCCCCTTTCTTAAATATTGGCACAACCTTGGACATTTTTAATTTACTTGGAAAAAGGCCTTCTCTGAGCAAGGCATTTAAACACAAGGTGAGAGGCACTTTCACTTCTTCAACCACCAGTTTCACTAAAAAATTTGACACATTATAAATATCACAACTTGTGGAATTTTTCAACTTTGAAATGATTTTAACAACTTCACTACACTCGACAGGCTGCCAGGACAGAGGATGATGTGGTGTCAAGCGATGGCTCTCCAGGAGTTCATCAGGCGTGGAGTCAGCAACAGGGATGTTCTCTCTGATATCAGCAACCATGGAAGAGAAGAAATCGTTAAAGGTGTCGGCATCCGGTGTAGCAGGTTGTTGAGATTTAGGTTGAGTCTCATTCTTGATAACTGTCCAAGCGGCTTTACATGTATTACTGGAAGAATCTATGAATTTCTGGTTGGCTTGCTTTTTACCTTGTAGTAAAGCCATTTTGTAGATCTTCTTTGCTCGCTTATACCTTTCTACATCCAATGCATTTCAAGTGTGTTTGGATAAACTAAACATTGCCATTACATTATCCTTCATTTTTCTTAGCTGTGGTGTGTACCAATTTTTTCGAGCTCTAGGTTTATTCTTGACGTTTTTCTTCACTTTAGTTGGAAAGTAAATATCCATCCATCCAATAAATGTGTTATGGAATTTATTGTACATTTCATCAGAATTAAGTCCTTCCAGCAATAGAGGCCAGTCAATGTTTTGTAGCCTTAGTTTAAAATCCATAATAGCACTCGTTGGTAAGGGCCGGATGATTTTACAGTTGAGCCTATTTTGATCATTAATCTTATGTCCTTTTGTCAGACGGTTAAAAATCCTAAATGATAAAAAACTATGGTCAGATATTAAATTATCAAGCATATTTACTTTAAATTCAGTAGGTACTATGTTTGTAAGCATATAGTCAATACATGCTAAACCTCTTGTTGGTTTAAAGTTTGAACAATAAAGGTCTGCTGTTCTTAAAAGGTTGTGAAGCCTAACAGTTGAAGTATTCAATTCAATATTGAGGTCGCCGCAAAAAACAATGTCCATTTTGAATTTTAGCAAACATTCAAGAAGCAAGTCTAGTTTATCGAAAAATATGTTTTCATCCCCACCACTAGGCCTGTAGAGGCACACAATTATCAATTTAACATCACATATCTTAACTGCAGTTGCTTCAAAATATCTTTCAACATTAATATATTCCAGGTCAATGGGTTTTACATTAAAGCCTAAGTTACTTTTAATGTAGATAGCAGATCCTCCGTGAATGCCAGATGTCCGATAAAAGATAGATTCAAGTTTGTAGCCTACAAAATTGTAAAGATCAAAATTTTGATCGTTAAGCCAGTGCTCAACTACACAAAAGATTGCATTATCTTCCTCTTGCAGACATATTTCAATTTTTTGCGTTTTATTAGTAATACTTTGTACGTTACCAAATAAAATATTTAATTCATTATTTGTTGATACTAAAGGCGTGTCTAGTTGTGTGCTGTGTCGTAGCAGCTTGTGTTATGGAGGCGTGGCAGCGGGGCTGAGATGGTAGTTTCCCAAAGATTTCTCCACAGGAACTCCATTTAGCGCTGGTACTAGAGTAGGGCCGGGGCTACAGGTATCTGCGATGGAGTCGGCAGCTTCGCATAGAGACTGTTTTTTGGATTCTCCCAGATCTTCTCGTTCTCTGAAGGAGGTTTGCAACTCCGACTTCTGGTTGGTGT